TTGAATTAATAAATTGGTTATCTACAAATTCACATCTCTAATTAATTCTTCACTATTAATTTTCTAAAATGATTTTTTTTACATAAATACATTATTTATTTAACTTTTCAAAAAACCACTTTGTTTTTTGCCATTATGAAGATATTTTCTGAAAATATCTATTTATGTATGAAATTTATTACCATATAGTTCTTTTTATATGATATTAGATAAAAAATTATCAATAAAACAAACTCTTGTGATGTCAAGATCAACACTGCTATTGTTGAAGAAATCAGTAAAATCAAAGTCAAAATTAATAATAATCTTATTTCAAAAATAAATTTCTGTAATGCAAATTATGCAACAGAAATACAAAATATTTTTTTTTATAATTAATGTTCTAACCAGGTGATGTAACAAAATTGAGAAAATTCTAGAAACCCATCATAATAATTTTAATCAAATTTAGTGATAAAAGCTAAATCCTATAGTTTAAGAAAAAGCTAAAACTGAAACTGTTCTAAAGGAAGTTTAATCTTTATATAATTTGTTCAAATTTTAAAATTTTTAAATTTTGTTCAAACTTTCTAAATTATCTAAAAATGAATTGAAATTTTATAAGAGAGAAAAGTAGAGGAAATGGAAATTTATAATAAGTGAAAATACAATATATCAACATTTATGATAATGTAATTATAGTATAGTATATAATAATGCATGGTGTAATTATAGTATATAATAATATGTAGTGTAATTATAGTATATAACAATGTGTGATATAATTATAATATATAATATAAGTAATTAAAGTATATCATGTAACATATATTTTATTAATAAAAATTATATTAAAAATTATTTACAAATTATGTACACGCATATTTTATTATTATAAATTACATATTTTTATTTGTTAAAAATTATTACATTATGAATTATGTACTCTATTTTTATTGATTAAAAATCAACTGATGTTTAATACCACTGGTATAATTTATCAAAGTTATTTTATTTATAATATAACTTATTTAATAATAGCATATTTAGTATAGTTGTTTTAGTTTTAGCTATATATATTTTTTTGTTTTTAGTTATTAGTTTATTGAATTTTTTTGAAGATGAATTTCAATTAATACTGTTTTATTTTATTTTATTCTTTCTATTTTACAAGTTAAATATAAAAAAATATGTGACACAAATAGGAATTCTAATTTTAGTTAATTTATAATATAAGAGCAAATAGGATAATTAATTTTACAAGTCAAATACAAAGGAATTGTTATATTATACATGTTTTTAAAATTGATTTTTGATTTTTGAAATATTTTGTCTTTTTGAGATTTACATAGAATTTATTCTATATATAGAAATAAAAAAAAATATCTAATTAAGTATATTTTTAATCAAAGAATTTATCTAGATAGTTAAGAATTTTAAATTTTAAATAAAATAATTTTGTTTTTTATAAAAAACTATTTTAACTTTTTTTTTTAAAATTACAATTTCAGAATTTCAAAATAATTTTATGTTATTACTATTTTTTTTTCTCTTCTCATTTGATATACTTTTATATCATTACATGTTTCATTATTTTTTTGTTTTATTCAAATAATTTCTTTTTCACTTGTTATATTTTTTTATATTTTTCTTTTAGTTTAATTATTAATAATAATTATTACTTATTATTATTTATCTACTTATCTTGTATTATCTCTTTCATTTTCACTCTTCCTTTGAATTTTCTGTCTTGTTAATGCTTTTTAAAAATTTGATCTTTACTTTTTTCTTTTTCACTTATATTTATATTTTATTTTAGCTATGTTAATTATGTGCTATATAATTTTCTATACTGAATACTGTGAAGAAAATACTAAAATTTATAAAGATATAATCACTCTCTTAACAAGACACTGCTAAATTAAAGGAGTAGTAATAATTATGAACTGTTACCATCTCTACAGTAACTATGAAATTTTGCTTATTCAAGATTTGACACTAATTTAGTATTTTTTTTTTTTTTTTCTATTTTATTCTTTTTATCATGTAATAAATTGATTAATTAATTTATATTTATAGAATAGTTTTTAAAAATATATATAAAGAGCTTTAATTTTTTTACTTATGTAATTAATTAGAATTTAATTAATAAATTAGAATAGATTTCTTTATTTTCTTTATCTCTTCTTGTATTTTCTTTATTTTTTTTAATAAAAACTTTATCTTTTATATAATAAATATATTTTTCTTTTTTATTTTCTTTGTTTTATTTCTTATTTTAATATTAAACTTGTAAATTGTATAGTCTTGAATCTTAAATCTTAAAATAAATTATTAATCTTTATTTTTTTATTTACTCAATTATGTGACTTAGTCAAAACTACACTTTTTTTACTTGTTTATATATAAATTTTCTATCTAAGTTCATAACAAAACTATCTTATTCTAATTAAACATCTTTTTATCTTATAATCTGCCACTATCTTTCTTCAATTATCACCTTATTTTTTATCCTTTCTTTATACTTATTTACTTTTGTCTTTAATTATTCTAAATTCAAATTTCTTTACTTTTTTTATTTTTATAGAATATATTAGTTCTTTTAGTTAGTATCTATACATTCCATATTCCTAAAAATCCTTAATAACTATTAGTTTAAATTCAAGCACTTATCTTGTACTTGCTCTTACTCTCTCAACAGGTAATATCAATATGTAAGTATAGTTATATCAAAAAGAAATTCTGATTTTAATTGATTTATAATATAGGACACAATAGGACAGTTAATTTTTAATAATTTTTAACTGATTTATAATATAGGAATCACTATTTGGTACAGTAATTCTTTTGTATTTGACTAGTGTTTTAGTTAGTTTATAATATAGGAATTTCAATTTTAATTAATTTATAATATAGGAATTACCATTTGATATAACAATTTTTTTGTATTTAACTAGTATTTGTACTAATTATTCTTTTGTATTTGACTTGTGATCTACAAACATTTTTACTTATTTGTATATCTTTCTATTTATTTGTATCAAAAATTTTATCTGGTTTTTTTTTTTCATTTAACTAGTATTAATCTTTAAAAATTTTTATTAGAAAAACTTTTTTGATATAATATAAAAATAAAAAGTTCTAAAATATTAACAAAAGTATTTTACAGTTTATTATTGATTAAATAAAAAAAACATACAAAATTTTTATAACAAATAAGTAAGAAGATTAGTAAATGATATACAAATATGCAAGGAGATTTTATATAATATACAAATAGGCAAAAAAATTTGTGAATAATATGAAAATAAGCTAAGTCAATTTGTACTAAAAATTTTACTGATTTTTAATTATTTGACATGTACAACTATTAAGTATTTCAAATTAGTGATAGAGTAATTTTATTCTGCAGAATTTAGGCTTATTTTTTTTTTTTATTTTTTTTTGTGTAAGTACAACATCTAATTCAGTTCCTGATGCATCAGTATGCAAATAGAAAGGTTGTATGAAGTTAAGGTAATGAAAGATAGAGAAAGTAATTAGTTTTTCTTTAAAGTTGCAAAGGTTTGTTTTTATAATGTGGCCCATTCAAATTTAACATTTTTTTGTAATAATTAATTCAAAGGTTAACAATTTGAAAAAATTTTTAATAAACTTTTGATAATAAGAAACAAGTTTCAGAAATTCTCTAAGTTGGTACAAGTTGGTGAATTTAAAAAATTTTTGACTTTTATTAATTTATCTTTATTGGTGAAATCTCTTCATCAGACATTTTATGTTCCAAGAGTTTAATTTTTGACAAGAAGAATTGATATTTATCAAGATTATTTTTTAAAATTACTTTTTGTAGAGTTTCGAAAATAGTAGCTAGATGTTATGGATGATTTTCAAAAGTATCAGAGTAAATAGTTAAGTTATTCAGATATACTATTACAAATTTCCCAGTATAAGTCTGTAGAATTTTATCCATTAGCTGTTGAAAGTATCGGAAGCATTACATAGCCCAAATGCATAACATTAAATTTATATGTTCCAAATGGGTAATAAAAACAGAAATGCTTGTGTATGAGAACATTTATTTAAAAATACATATAAATGCATCTATGTATGTACCCATCACCCAATTAATAATCCATGCATTTTAACTAATCGGCATAGTTTACAAAATTTCATAAAAACTTTAAAAAATTTTTTTTTTTTGAGTTGGATTAGTAGGGTTAGGATAAAAGATTTAAAACTTTTTTTCTGCTGCGTGACTTGTAATTACATTACATTATATATACTCGCATCTGGATGGATCATCATATAACAATGAATAAAATACCTAAAACTTCTTTGGACATCCTCCTTGTCACAATAAGTTATTTTAATGACAATCCCACGGGCAATAAGGAGACCACATGGTAATTTTAATAATATTGTTTCTTTGGTGTCTCCAACCCTATATGATATTTGCTGTTATAATGGTAAGGATATAGCACATAACAGAAAAAAATACTTTGGCACAATATACACATGTATGTGTGTACAACAAAGATAACCTTGCAGTAACTAGCTCTGACAGTCCGCACTGATATGCTTATACTACAAGACACCCCATCCCCCCACTTTGACACTCGTATTTGCACTAACACAGTGATGGATATGGCAAAAGGTATGAGAAGAATTATATAACGATCATAATAATAAAGGAAAAACATAAATAAAATATAAATAGAAGTAATGACTTACTTTGCTACAGTTATTAATCTTCACGAAATGTTGGATCTAACGAAGCGGATCGCTCATAATTTTATCAATATAAACTGCATCATCACCTGATAACTCTAATAACTCTATAAGGAAGAATGCTATGACAATTATGAGTTTGAAATTAAAATGGTTACAAATTAAGTTATCCATTTTAGCAATAAACACGTGTTAAAGAACTTCTTTATAAATATCACGTGGAATAAAATTTTAAGTTGGTTTAAACTCTTTAAACGGTCAAAAGAAAAGTATTTATTAGTCGTTATAAAGTTATGGAAGGCAACGCTGTTTGTACAGAACCTAACACATCCGATGACACACTAAAAATCGCCGGACCTGCCTCTTCCTTATTTGGCGGTTCTTCACAAAGTCCATTCGATACTTTATTTCCTCCTACAAATGTTTCAAAAGCTTCCAACGACTCAATTGCAAAAACATCGCAACCTATAACACAATTTGACGACTCAGCTTCGTCCTTCTTTGACAATTTTATCAGTGAGAATGAACCTCAGATGACTAAATCACAAGTGGAGTCAAATTATTCATTTTATGATTATTCAAACATTTCTTCAAATGCTGATTCCACTAATGACCGTTCAATAAATACGACGGTCACGCAACAGTATAGCACAGAGAATAATTATATGTATTATAATGAACAATATACTTCCATACAAGCTAATGGCAACAATGACAATAGTGACAATAATAATAATGACAGCAGTAATGGCGAGGGAACGATAGATCAAACAAACAATTCTCAGTATTACGATTATACAGGTTATAGTGGTTATGAGAATTCATCATATTCAAATGGTCAAGATAATTCACAATATTATAATTATTCTCAACAACAGTATTATGATCCAACTCAAAAATATGATCCTTCGACTTATAATTCTTATTATTATAATCAAAATCACGATCCTAATCAAAGTTACGATCCTAATAAAAGTTACGATCCTAACCAAAGTTACGATACTAATCAAAGTTACGATCCTAACCAAAGTTACGATCTTAACCAAAGTTACGATACTAACCAAAGTTACGATCCTAACCAAAGTTACGATCCTAACCAAAGTTACGATCCTAATCAAAGTTACGATCCTAACCAAAGTTACGATCCTAACCAAAGTTACGACCTTAACCAAAGTTATGACCTTAACCAAAGTTACGATCTTAACCAAAGTTATAATCCAACTTCTGTAGAATTAGAAAGTCACCAGCCCAATAAAGATTATGAAGAAAGTCCATCTTCTGTAGAATTAGAAGGTCACCAGCCTAATAAAAATTATGAAGAAAGTCCAACTGTTGTGGAAAGTCACGAACCTAACCCAACTACCGTAGAATTGGAAAGTCACGATTCTAATAAAAATTATGGAGAAAGTCCAACTGCTGTAGAATTAGAAAGTCACGAACCTAATCCAACTACTATAGAATCAGAAAGTCATGAACCTAATCCAACTACTATAGAATCAGAAAGTCACGAACCTAATAAAATTTATGAAGAAAGTCCAGCTACTGAAGAATTAGAAAGTCACGAACTTAATAAAAATTATAAAGAAAGTTTAACTGCTGAAAGTCACGAGCCTGATAAATTTTATGATGAAGGTCTAACTGCTGTAGAATTAGAAAGTTACGAGCCTAATAAAAATTACGAAGAAATTCCAACTGCATTAGAATTAGAAAGTCACGAGCCTAATCAAAATTATGAAAAAAGAAGTTCAATTGCTGTAGAAGATGAAACTCAAAAGATAGATGGTTTAATAGGTTGTTCATACCCTCAATGTACAGGGGAAAACAAAGCCACTGCCAAATTTTGTTCGGAATGCGGGCGACCAATAAATAGCGTATCTCGAACTACCACACCAGCAACAAATAATAATAATACATTTTACACAACGGATCCTTATAATAATGAACTAAATAATCATTCAAGACATTCATTTTCATCTCTTCCATATAATAATACACAGGCATCTTATTCCGCATCATCGTTTACATCCATGGGTCATCATTCTTCTTCACCGGGATTAGACGCACAAAAAATTAACAAGGCAATAGGTTTACCAATACAACAACAACAGCAACAACATTATAATGATTATAATACTGAAGTCATGTCTGCCTTTAATGATCCGTTGGGAAGAACAAAAGGGTATCCGATTATGGCATTTGGATTTGGAGGAAAGATATTTACCATGTTTCCTCGTACAGTGCAACGTTTCACTAGCACGGAGCAAGATGTGCCTATTACGAAATGTGCACCTAGTGTATTTACAATCCGTATATTAAAAGATATTATTCCTTTACCAGATATCGAAGAGTATCCTGGTCCTTTGCTAATGGACAATAATAAGGGTGGTGTGAAAGCGAAGAAAAAACTTGTATTAAAATACATCGAAGATCAGATTAATGTTGCTAAGGAATCCTTGAATACATTTGTCGGTGAAGAAATTGAAAAGAAAAAATTGGAAGCCACAACAATTATATGGGAAATATTAAAAATCATGTTTGAAAATGAAGGTGCTCTTTCTGGAAGGTTAGTTTTATTTGTTGAATAAAAAATTTTCTTTAATATATATATATATATGTATATATTTTATTTAATATTTTTTCATCTAATATTATAAAATCATAAAAAAACACAATTTAGTCCAAAAGTTGAAGAAAGTATACGTAGTATTTTGGTCCCTTCTGCATATACTCCCAAAAATAGTGATTCAAACTTTACCATTCCCGCCGATTCAAGTTTTGATTCGCCACCAGATGAACCATCTTCATCTTCTATTATATACACAATTTCTCCTAAAGAAATTGACATTTTACAAGATCTTTTACTCAAAGGTGATCGCGTAGCTGCTATAAATCATGCAATGAATGAAAATTTATGGGCTCATGCTCTAATCATTGCAAGTTGCGTTAATAAGGAACAATGGAAAGAGGTTGTAAGCAGTTTTATAAGACATGAAATAGGTTCACAGAATTGTAATTCGGATGGGAAAGAAAGTTTGAGAGTTTTATATTCATTGTTTGCTGGGCATGGTCAAAATTCTGGTAAAAAAAAATCAATACTTTCTTCTTCTGTTATTATTATTATTTTACGGTTATTTCGAAATTCCTATAAATATAAATATATATATATATTTCAATGATTATGATTGTTTTTTTTTTTGTAGTCAAACAATTTGCACCTCATTCAGCTTTACTCAATCGTGTGACTCATTCATCAGCTACTGGTGTATATCCTCTTAATCCCACCATCACTACAAATAACAATCCTCAAATGGGAACTATTAACAATACACAATATTTGTACTCACCTTCGACTGAAAGTGATATTCCTTTTGAAAGTTTAGAAAAATGGCGTGAAACATTGGCAATGATTTTGGCTAATCGTTCGCCTGGAGATAATCAAGCAATTACTGTATTAGGGGATATGTTAAAAGAATGTGGTTGGATTCAAGCAGCTTGTGTTTGGTATGTTGTTATTGACGAACAAAGAAAGATTTATATTTCTTAAATATTAGCAATCATTTTTTTTATTAGATTATTTCGTGAATTATTATTTCCTAATACTCTTTTTTTATACAAAAATTTTGAATTAGTTACATTTTATCTCCACAAACGTCTCTTCATTCTGGAATTGATACACCTAATTCACGTTTCACACTTGTGTGTCATGACCATTTTCAGGATCCCTCATTTAAAGATTTGAAAGCATTACGACTTAGTGAGATTTATGAATTTGGACTTTCATTAAAAAGTAATGAGGGTGGATTGCCGTTTTTACAACCTTATAAACTTCTTTATGCATGGTGGTTGGCAGATTTCGGATATTTGAATGAAGCTAGAAGGTAAATAAATAAATAAATTTTTTTGTAATTAATCTTCCCTAATATAGAAAACTAAATTAATTATTATTTACATAGATACTGTGAATCAATTGCGAATATCGTGAAAGTATATACTAAAGGATCTCCGTATTTCCATGGATGTTTTTTACAAAAATTGAGAGATCTTACACAACATTTACTTGAGCATGGCGGAAATAATAACGGGTTAGTTCTGTATTTAAGTTTTATATTATTACGTTTTATTTATTATTAATTATATTTCTAATTATTATTTATTATTTAGTACTAATGAATCATCCTCTTGGTTATTTGCCAAAAAAATGCCTAAAGCAACCCTTGATTCTTTGTGGGGATCACTTGAAGGGAAATTCAATAAGTTTGTTGCAGGGGATACTTTGGAAGAAAATGGAAATAAATCCTCAGATAACCAAGAGGAATCCGTTGGACCTTTCTCTCATTTCAGTGCCATTTCACAACCAACTTCTGGCAATCCATCTCGTAGTGCATCTTCTATCGATTTCCGTTCCAACAATGATCAACGTTCAAACACTCCTAAAACTTCCTATGAACTGCAGAGAAGATCTTCGACACCGGGATCAAATTCCCAAAGTGTCAGTACAATAAATACGGGGAATATAATGAATACGGGGAATGGTTACTATTCCAGTCCTACCACTTCAGACGGTTATAATACATCGATGCCTATGGTGCCTGAAGGTCAACCTTCATATTATTTAACATCCTCAATAACAGATGATAACAATAATAATTATTATGGTGTACAAAATGATGGGCAAGAGAATTATAATTCATACGGTTATAACACATGGAAACCTACGCGAACAAATACTTTTGGTCAACAACAACCAGTATCTGAAAGTGGATATTCAATTACTAATGATCAATATGGTCAATATGGACAATATGGATCAGGTCCAATTGATCAACAATCGCCGAATCCACCTTTGTATTCATATAATAACCCATCGGAAAATACATATACTAACGGTTCAGGATGGTATAATAATAATAATTCTGGAGTCAAGAATGATCAAGATCAGACAGGTGATTTGGATGCAGAATTCATTTCTCCAATGGGCAACTTCACACCTTTTATGCCAGCTTCTACAACAATAAATTCAACAAAAAACAATAATGGAAATAATAATAATAATAATAATAATAATAATAGTAGTAGTAATAATAATGATTGGGAAGATATTGATCTGGGATTAGGTAACAGTGCATTTTCAAAAAATAAATTTACCGAGAATGCTTCTTCTGAGAATGAAGAGAATCACGAGAAACCCCCAGAAAATTCAACCAATGAAAAGAAAGAAGAAGAAAATGGCGAAGAGAATAAAGAAGGTAAAGTATCATTAGTATAATTTTTATTAAATCTAAGTTTAATTATAATTTTTTTAACATGGCGTAATAAATATTGAATATATTATATTTCACACGTTAACAGATGATAAAAAAGGCTGGTTTGGAAGATGGTTTGGAAAAAAAGAAAGTAGTGGAAGTAATAGTAAATCAGCTAATTTGGGTGAAGAAAATTCATTTTACTTTGATCCTGTTCAGAAGCGATGGGTTAACAAAAAGGTAAAAAATAAATAAATAAATAATAAAGCATTTAATATAAAATTTAAAGATTATTTACTTAATAATTAATTTTATTTTAGGCCGGACCAGATTCTACCCAAACTTTAACACCACCTCCACCACCATTATCACGCGCCAAAACAACATCACCTACTCCATCATCAAACTTAAATCCTAATAGAAAATCATTACCACCAATAAAAACTTCTAATGGTAGTGCTTCAACTCCACCACCATTTACTGGTAGCCGTAGAAGTGTATCTAGTGCTAGCACACGACGCCCTGTTCGAGCAAGATATGTGGATATAATGAATCAGCCTCCGCCATCACCAAAATAAATTCAGTTTTATTTACAAAAATTTAATGCGAACAATTGTGATTTTTTCCATAGCATTTCTTGTGATATACTTTTTTAAAAAAAAAAAAAAAAAAAAAAAAAAAAAAAAAAAAAAAATTGAAAATTTACTCTGATTTAAAGTTGTTTTTTTTTATTTAATAATATTTAATATGTAGAATATTTTTTTTAATTTTGTATTAGATTAGAGAAAAAAAAAAGACCCCAAAATTTTTTTTTATTTTATTTAAAAACAACAGTAAAGTCTTTTTTTTAATATTTCTACATAAGTCCGTGAATTAAAAATAAATATATTTATATCACTAACAATAAAAATTTAAAATATTCAAAAAGAAATATATATATATATATATATACATATATATATATCAAAGATTCATGATTAACTTGTAACATCACTTTTTATTCTTTTAAACTAAAATTTTCTCCAAGAGAAAAACCACTGTTTAATGTACTATATTATATTTTGAAAATCTCTATTCGGCCATTTCACCAAAGACACAGCACCAACACCTGTTACAACATAACTACATAATTCTATACTTTCTTATATATATTATATATATATATTTTTTGTATATACATGAAATTAGATATACATTATATTAAATAAAACATTAAACAAATTTAATTATTGTACAAATTTTCAAAAATTGTAAACCCCCAAAAAATTAGAGTCCAACTACCCTTAGTAAAACCTCTACCCTTTCTTATGACTGCCTGGTTTGAAGTAAAAGTTGCTGTTTCTATTGAAGAGAATAGAAATAAAAATAAAGATAACTTAGAAACATTTAAAATTTTTTAAAAAAATTTTAAAATTTTATTTATTTAGCTCACCAAAGCCAATACGTGATTACGTTGTTCTGGTGGCAACATGTCAATTGTTTGTTGAGGAAGATTAAGAACTTGAAGCAAGAGTTGCTGAAATTTAAAAAAAAAATTTTTTTAGAAATAAAAAAAAAAAAAAGTTTATTGATGAATAAAAATATTTTCTTTGTATACGAACTGATTTTTGCGCTTCTTGCATTTGTAAATCATCTATTAAAAATAAATAATAAAAAATAAAAAAAAAAAATAAAAGTAAAAAATTTTTTAAATATCAAAAAATATTAAATATTATAATCATCTAAATAATTTATAAATTATTACTCATTCCAACGTTTCCCGTTGATACAACAGATTGACCAGGATTAAGAATCATTCCATTATTCATTACAGGCATACCCATAGATTGTTGCATTGGTGGTTGTTGCATTGGTGGTTGTTGTATTGGTGGTGGTGGTGGTTGTTGTTGTTGTTGTGGTTGTTGTTGTTGAATAGGTGGTTGTTGAATTATTGGTTGAGGTTGTTGAGGAATTGAAGAATACATAGTTGATTGAATTTGTGGTGGCATTGTGGCAGGACTAGGAACATTGGGAGGTACATAATTTGTACCTGGAACTATTGGTGGTGGATTTTGTACAGAAGATGGTTGAACTTGTTGTGCTTGTGATGTATTATGTAATAAAATTCTCTAATAATTTAATAAATAATTAAATAATTAAAAATAAATAATAAATAATTAAATAATTAAAATAAATAAAAATATTTTCTTTAACATTTGAAAGAAAATTTTCTACCGGTAATATTCCTGGATCAACAAAATTGTGCTGTATCATTGCTTGAAATAATGCATATGATAATTGAGGATTTTGTGCTAATAACACGCGTGCTTGTTCTTGATGTGTTTGAATATATAACTTTGAATCATAGAATAATAAAATAATTGTTAATAACCTTAAAATTTTTATTTTTATATTTAATATTTAATATTTAATATTTAATATTTAATATTTAAAGTTTACCTTCATTGTAGATAAGATCTCAAGAAGTTGGGCTGGAGACATTGTCTGTTGAACTGTTTGAGATATACTTTCTATATTAGGAGATTGTTGTTGTTGAGAAGATTGCTGCTGTGGTGGCGGTGGTTGTTGTTGTTGTTGTTGTTGTGAAGGTTGTTGTGGCGGAGGTTGTTGTGGTGGAGGTTGTTGTTGTTGTGGAGGTTGTGGTTGTGGTTGAGAAACAACTTGAGGGGTAATCGTTTGTTGGGTTGAAACAGGTGTTGATTTTTCTACACTTGATCTATCCGTTTGTATATTTGTTGTAGGATTAACTGCTGGATCTCCGTCGGCATAATCAACCCTTAGTTGACGACCACCAACTTCTACATTATTCAAATTTCTAACTGCACTTGCTGCTGTTTCTGCATCTATTGATAAAATTATTATTATTTGTTTTTATAATTGTAAAATGAAAATTACTTGATTTCAAAACATCATTTAAAGGAAAATTCTATATACCATGATATTCACAGAAACCATATCCTCGTGGTCTTCCACTCTCTCTATCAAATACCAAACTTAAGACAATATACAAAAATATATATATATATATACATATGCATGTCAGAAGATAATTTTTCACACAGTTAAATTATATTTTCTTTGAAAATAACTGACCGAAAAGAAACTACGGGCCCGACTTCTTTAAATACTTCAGTTAACTGTTCCTCGGTTAATTCATACGGTATGTTTCCAACTTGAGAAAAGTGACATTATTATTTCTTTAATTCACAGACTTAAATTTTCATTTGGTCAATTTTACAAAGATTTCTTACCAAATACTACATTCGAACCTCTAGGCCCTCCACTCATATTTTATTATATTAATTAAATTATATATATTAAATTATATAATAATATGAATATTTATCAAAGCTTGATCTAATGCCATGCATTTAAATTCTTATTCATACACTGGCTTTTTTGCCGATCGTTTGTCACACGATTTGTATGTTCGATCATCCTGTACCATGGAAATCTGATCTCGAAAAAAATAGTGATATCAACTTCGGGTTAACTTATTATCTCTATTTACGTAAAGTAGTATCATAGCATTGTAGAACGACCGTCATCTCGCTAAATTTTTTCATTAATTATTTTCTCGCACAAATGAAGGATTCCCAAACATCTAATAAGCGTGTTAGTAACCGGATTATATTGAACGTTGGTGGTATTAAGGTAATTTTTTATATTATTCTTTTTACTTTTTATTTTTCGCCCAAAAATCTAATATATTAAGTATATCACTTTTTTTTTTTTTTTTTTTTTTGTATTAGTATGAAACATACATATCCACCTTAACAGCCTACCCAAACACGTTTCTAGGAGCAATGTTTGCCGAACATAATCGGCCTTTGTTACAAACAACACTTAACGAAAATGAATATTTTATTGATAGAAATGGCTACATATTTTATTACATTCTGGAATTCTATCGAACTGGTAAAATCCATTTTAGGGAGAACTTTTATCACCAACAATATAATTCCTCTGTTAGAAATCGATATGGATTCAATGGATTTGGAGGTGGAAGTAGAGGTATAATGGGTGAAAATAGAGATAATATTTCAAATCATCCAATTACTCATGAAGAACTTGAAGAAGAAATGAAATACTTTCAAATTCCCATTAATACCATTTGGTCTTCATTAACTCAACGTGCTATTATCACAAAAATTGATGCATTTGTTGATACACTTCGAGAGGTATTCTATCAAGTACTTGGAGAATTTGGATCATCAATCGAAATCAAGTTTCGAAGAAATAAATATCAACCTCAAGTGAAAATTAGAGAAATAGAAGATGACACAATGATATTTGGAATAATAACGAATATATTAAAACCCTACGGATCAGTAGGATATTTGATTTTGGATAAATTTGGAACAGAGATAGAACATCACATGAAACAAATTATACCAGAATTAAAATGGGAATTGATACATATTGATAATTATAATTGGTATTGTATCAAAATGTCAACAACAGAAGAAATTGATCATAAAGAAGTTTTAAAAAATTCTTGTCTCGGTCAAACATTTTTTAGGACCAATAATGGAGATGATGATGATGATGATGATGATGATGATGATATAGAAATTATTGAGACACAGACTCAATAATGTTAGAGCTTATTATTACTTCATATAGTTAAACATTACTTCATATTAGTTGAAGACATTTAAAATTTTTATAAGTTTATTTATAGTAATAATCATTTCAAAGAACGAGAAAAACCACCATTTCCTATTTAATAGTTTCATTATTATTAGAACCAGAATTAGATTGATTAGTGTGAGATTTTGAATTAAATAATATAAAATTATTTATATATTTAAAAATAAAAATTTAATTCCATATTTGTTTCATGTATTAGAGTTAAAAATTATAAAATTAATAATAATAATTAATTAAATCTATATAATAATATAAAATTAATAATAAAATAATAAATTATATTAATAAAAATAATCAATTAATAAAAGTTAATTTTATTAATACGAATTATTAAAAAGTAATTATATAATCAAGTTTTTAAATAAATTACACCTTTAAAAATGAATTAATGATGCTGTAGCTGTTAATACTTTATTTAGCATATCCTTCCTTCCAAAGCAACAATGTAATTTATTTTTAAATTAGATTCATATTTTGTTTCACATTTAACTTTTCTTTCAGCAGTTATTGGATATCAAATATTGGGTACATTTATTATAATTTGTTTTTTTTGAGTTAATTTTGATTATAATATGAATTATATATTTGTCCTTTTGATTTTATATTGAGCTTCAAAGACTTAAACTTTTTGAATAATCATATATAAAAATATGATTGGAGAAAAAACTTACTAATAAAAGAATATTTTTAAAATAAAAATAAATAAAATAATATATTTAAACAAATACTTTCTAAAATTTGATTTCTATATTTTGACCTTCTACACTTTCATCACCTACATCATGATTTTCTTGAACTTTTTACCATTAGAATATTACTTTTCTCTATACACAATCTGTGATATCTATCAAAGACCAACATAGGATCCCACCTTTTTGATATGTCTTAAAAATTTTCCTGGAATTGTAGAATCTTTCTTGGCTTCTTTACAATACTCACAACAAATCTTGGGTATAGCACTTTTTCACCTTATCTATATCATCAGCGTTAATTTTAGCAAAGATTAAATATGTGATTTGTCTTTACTATAGGTTATATCGTTCTTAAGTTTGTCCAATGGTTATATCGTTCTTAAGTTTGTCCAATGGTTATATCGTTCTTAAGGTTTGTCCAATCTATATCCAAACTTAACAGAATAGTGCTTCAATACATATGACCATAAAGCTTTCATCTCCTTTCTTTCAAATGCTTGTTCGAATGACATGGGAGCATTTTTAGATAAAACTTCCAAGTATTCTTTAATTTGTCAATATATTTATGATCATTTTAAGACCAAGCACTTTTCTTAGCGATATAAACTTTACACTTGTTGGATAAAATTTTCAAGTTTACTGCCACCACTTCTCTGTCTCTTGCCAGTATTGTTGATAGGTTATAAGAAAATTTCTCACTCTTCGACAAGTTAATGTCTTATTCACTTGCTTCGTCGATGACAAATTTGATCCTTCCAGTAACACACTTTACTATAAAATTCTTACCATTCTGCACGCTTTTTGATAAATATTAGATCAGTTTTCTGTAAGTGAATTAAATTACACAAAAGATTTTCACCCATTTGCATATACGACCTGTTAACATATTACTGTTGTAAATACATATTATATATTTAACTTTAATATTATTAAATTAATAGATACATTACGGAATTTATATTGCTGTGCCATCATAATTACTGCTTAGCCAAAATGCCGTTAAAGTTGATTAATCGATGATTCGGCAGCATTTATCGATCACAATAACAATAAATTTTTTTTTTTGATTATTAAAATTAATCGCGGTTCCGGTAAACGGTTAACGGTTCCAATCTCCACTCGGTGGATGGTGATGGTATTGTGAAAGAAGCATATATCGACGGATACATTAAAGGATCAAACGATACGCTAAGAACAATTTTGAATAGGAGATAAGATTTATTTATTTAAATAAAACTTTCAAATTATTGCCTTTTTAAATTAGATCAGTATCCATTTTAAGCGAAAAAGTAGAAGCGTTTTATATTTATTAAAAAAAATATCAAGAAATCAACGCTCTTGTCCTTGCCTTGCTGTGCCGCATTGTGCCGTGCTGTGCTCATGATCTTGACCCACCGCTTCGTTTTACTTCTCTCTGGGTGGGTATCGTATTTATAAGAAAATCAATTTTCTAACGAGGCGCAGATGGGAGTTTTTTTTATACAATATACTACTATATTTTCTATCATAGAATAAATTGATTTCTTTATTATGTAATAAACAAATAATGTGAATAACATTTACCTTTCAATTTTTTTTTGTCTTTCATTTCACAAATTACATATTCAAAAAAAAAACTAATTACCAAAGCACTTGATAATATATTTCATTGTGGTGACAATAGTTTTTTGTTAATAATTGATGATCAAGAGACCATTTATGATTAAAATCATCAGTTCAATTGACATTTACAATAGATTAAGGGCAATAGGACAATAGGGTAATAGCTTGACCAAAAAATCATTATGTAGGGTCTTAATCAAAATCATCAGTTCAATTGTTTCCAAGAAATTATTCACCTGAATAAACCAAAAAAGGATCAAACCACGATGAAGAGAAAAAAAGTGCAGAACCTCCATATCTTAAACTTTGATATCACTCTGAATAAATACAAAAGATTAAACGTGATACATGCTAGAAGGTTCCAAAATTTACAATAAATCTTTAAACTTGTAAATCTTGGATCACAAACTAATAAAAATTAAAACCTTTATTATTTTTGATCAATTTCTACTACTCGTAACCGTAGTTCACAGCGAACGCACTTTGTACGATGCAAATATTGTTCTATTACACAGAATACATAAATTCTATTAATAAATAAAGTAAAATTTCTCTTTTTGAAATTTTAATCTAAAATTTAAAATTAAGGAAAACATTAAATACACAGCCTATAACATCAGGTGGTTTAGATTTATCGGTAAACCATCTGGCACCGAAACCTTCTCTACTACATTAACTGAGGTTCCAGTTGGAATTTGCGTAACAAAGACCTGATTTAAAACTGCAGGAAGCACAACAGTAATATCAATATATTTAATATAAAGTAAGTAATCTGGGGTAATGGGTTTCGTTAGTGTTCCAGTAATATTAAAAGTATTAGAGACGAAAGAATCAGATAAAACTGATACAGAGAGTGGGGAAGTTCTAGAGGGGGAAGAACATGCTTGAAAACCAGGACGATATGGAAAAGCATTAACTATAGAAAGCATGACCAATAAAACGAATACAAAAATTTCGATTCATCATTTTTTTTGTGAATATGATATTTTGGTTCGAGTAGAATATTTGTTTGTTTTTTTTGCAATTATCGATGAGAGTGAATCGAGATCACTGCCCAGTCCTTAAAATAGATCTCTGTCTTTTTTTTAAAAAAAAACCGAAAAAAAAACTTTTTTTATACATTCGGTAGAAGAAAGTCTCGGACACTTCATATATAATATAAAGTCTCCAAATTCTATATCGTTGTAAAAATAAATTCGATCCTAGCCCGTAATAATAAATTTCTATGCCTATTTTTAACCCTCTTACTCTCAGGTGATGTGTCTTATCCTTTAAAAACTTCTTTCACACTTTCATGCAACGCTTTATATTCTTTGGAATCTTTTTCTAAGGCCTTTTTGGTAAATTAGATAGAATAGTTGCTTGGGAAACTTCTCCGGATGCAAAGTACTATAATCTCTTAACCTCTTGTTTGCATAAAAAATTCTTTTGTTCACAACTTGATTTTTAATAAAAATAGCTAAGACAGTTAAATTTGCTCGGAATTGCTACCGTTTAAGGAATAATCATTTTTGTGAAATTATTATTTTTTTCTAGTTAGTATATTTATTATTTATTTACGTATATTTTTTATATTTGTAAACAATTCTCTATTTGGATAAGAAAAATAAAAGGTAAATATTATTCGCTACAAATATGAGCAGAAATAATAAAAATATAACTTTTAATATATAAAGATAGAAACGATATTACTAATTATGATTTCTAAATATTATTTTTTAAATAGTATTTCTAAATATAATTATTATAAATATAATTAAATTAAATTATTTTTAATTATCTAATCTAATATTTTAACATTTCCAAGTGCGCTAGGTGTTACAATTTTCTTATAACATGATCAACAGTTGTGATTTTGAATCCAAGAGATCTTACCAATTTAACTGCTTCTGGTCAGAGTGAATGGACCGTATTTTCTGTTGTATCGTGTTGCAATGCAATATGTACTCCTGGCTTCTTTATACTTATTCAATGATTCAAACCTCGCCAATCATCCACTACATTATATCCAGAAACAAAGTAAATCATGTATTCGCCCGTGATATGAGATATGTGATGCGAATCAATGCCGTGACTTCACATACTTATCACAAAAGTTATTCGGTAAATCCACGTTTTTCGTGCGACCCGATTTTTTCATTTATTTATTATTTGAGCGCAAATGCGCGTTAAGATTTTGTTTGGGATATAACTAATAATTATAAATGTAGTATTTTCGCGTCCTTCTGCTTTTCCTTAATTTTATTTTTGCAAGTGAAAGTATATATATATATATTTACGGATTCTACAACTCCTACAAACGTTATTTAGTTATCCAGAACTTGTTTGGTATGTTCGATCCTTTTTTTTTAAAAGGATTGTCCTTGATCCACTGTTCATTTGTATGTCTTTGTTTGTTTACTCACTTCAAATTACATATAGTTAAATGTATATAGAAAGAAAATTCATACTTGGTTTTTATTGAGTATATCGGTAAGTTTCATGTATTTCTTTGAAAGTAATTCAAGTATAGTTTTTTTTTTTTTTTTGGATTTGGTTCGTTAAGCTGTTACAGGACTTTCTGCGATAGCCATCTAGGTGGCAAGTCATATCTTTTTAGTATCTTATCTAACGAAAGATTTTTAGATATGGCCGGCGGCATTCTCCTACACCCACGGAGGTGTCGTTTGCGCAATCTGATTTGTTATGGCTTTTCAATTAGAAGGTTGCGAATTCTAATTGATGTTTTTGTCCATTAATTAAATCAGTCTATAGAGAGCTAGTAAGAGGATATAAGAGGAATATGATATCTTCGGAAATTATAGACTAGTTACTAGCTCTTGGTAACTAAACAATTTTTCGCAACGGATTGTTTGGTTTTCCATGATGACTGTGGGGCTGTGCTTGGTTGCAATCAATTAGTTATTCTTTGAACACTTACTTCCTTTTTACATTTTTTGTAATACTGCTGAGACATAGGATTCATCGATTCATCTCCAATGCGATTAATCATATTATTTCAAGAGAAGAGATAATAATTACACCTTGTTTAATAAGTTTACTGAATGTATCAATTATCACATGATCATTATCTTAAAACTTAGTGACAACGCTCCAGATAATCAAGCGAAGAGTTAAGTATAATGTTAATCTGATTACTTATTTTAAAATTATTTTAAGAATTTCCAAATGAACGAACGTCTGATCAACTTTATTTAGAAGATAGCACATAATATTTGTATTGTTTCTTTTGATTACTACATTGTACACATTTAATATTTAATATTAATAAAGTGATAAAGTGATTTGTTTCAATAAAATAATAATAGTGTTCATTGATTGTATTGAATAAATTTTGTACATTATTACATATATTGAAATAACTAAAAGATACATCTGTTCAAAAAAATTATATTCTTAAATTAATTCTACTTCATAATGTTTGTTATTGAACATTAAGATTCCCTTTTGTATTGAATATCAATATTTAATACATAATTTTTATTTTGTTGTTGAAATAAATAAATAAATAATATAATATAATAATATAAAAAAAACTATATACATGAAAAAAAAGAATTTTAATAATAAAAAATAAATAATAGATAATAAAATATATATCATAAATAAACCCTAAGAACTGATTCTTTTGGTTTACGACATATCACACATTTATCAACGGCGTGAACACATACTCCACAAAGTGCCATATGATAACAAGGTACGATAGCATGAGTGATAGGTTCAGAGTAACAAACTCGACATTTATTAAATGCTGAAACTTTATCTTCTAATTCACGTTTTTTTTCACGTTTCAAGGTTTCATTTTCTTTTTGAACATCAATGACGATTCCTTGAAGTTCCATAAATTTACGTTGACATGAAACTCTCTTATTCACCTCCTTTTGAATTTCCGATTGAAAATGTCCAACTTTACCATTCATTCGATTATTTTCCTCTTGTAAATGAATAGATTGAGCTTTAACATTTTTTAAATCCATTTTATTGGTATCGATTGTTAACCTCAATTGATTATTTTCATCTTCAAGATTTTTAATTTTCCGATGATGATTTTTATTTTGTTCTTCAAGATTTTTGATTTTCCAATGAAGATTCTTATTTTCTTTAGTTAGAGTGTCATGATCCCATTTTCGAACCCATGAACTAAGTTGTTGATTCTCTTTACGAAATTTTTCATTCTCATCAACATATTCGGAAATATCATTACGAAGATATTTATTCTCTTCCAAAAGATTTTGATTTTCTGAAGTTAATTCATTATTTTCAGAATATAAATTTTGATAATCTATCGTTAATTCATCAATTTCTTCGAGAAGTTTTTTGTTTTCATCTTTAAAACTTTCATTTGAAGTATGAAGATTATTTAATTCCAATGATAATTTAACAGCTTCCTCTTTTTCTTTTGAAATATTTTCAAATTCTGTACGTAATAATTCAATTTCATTAATTAAGGATTGATTCGATATAAATAATTTTTCATTTTCCACACGATTTTCTTCATTTGCATCAGCCAATTTTGTAAATTCGGAACGAATATCTTTATTCTCTTCACATAACTTATCATTTTCCAAACGAATGTTATTGATCTCATGATGTAATCTCTTGTTCTCAGAACCGATTTCATCCGATTGCCTTTTAATATTCAAGTGAAGGTCTTTATTTTCATCTTCAAGATTTTTATTAATTGCTTCTAATTCAGAAAGTCTATTTTTAAGTTTTAATAAATTAGAAGGATCATGAGATTCATCCATATTACAATTTTCACGAATGGTTATAATTGCAGATTTGGAGTCACTATCATCATTCGTGATCGTGATACAAAAATTGTTTTTGATGGGTATTTTCAAAGTATTACTTATAGTCTCATTTAGATTATCATTTAGAGTATCATTTAAATCATTATTTATGAGGATTGATTGTGAGGATGATAAAGATTCATTATTCATAATTATTTGAGAGGATGAAATATGTTCTGAATTAAAATCTTCATCGTCATCCGCATCCTTTAATCCTTTAACATTATCGTCATTATCATCTTTTGAATATTCATCTACAATGTTTAAAAGGTCCTCGTTAATGGTTGAAACTTGACCTCGAGGGATATTATCTAATTGAGATAAATATATCTCATAATTATCATCCTTATTGATGACGTTATCATAATTATTAATTTCATCCTCATTATTGACGTTATATTCCTTATCATTATCATCATCAACAACTTTATCACCCTTATCATTATCATCGCCATTATTATTGTCATTATGATCAATATTAACAATATCTTCATTATCATTATTATTATTGACAAGAGAATTTGATTCGATATCTTTATAATTATAATCAAGATTGTTGTCGGTTTCAATATCTTTCGAACTTTCGGCATTGTTGGGTGATATGGTTTGAAAGAAATTACTTAAATGAAAATCATTATCCTCATTATCCTCATTATTTTCATTATCTTCATTATTATTATTATTATTATTATTATTATTATTATTATTAACATCCTCAATATTCTCAATATTCTCAATATTCTCATTATTCTCACTATGATTATCATTATCATCATCGTCATTATTATTATTATCAAGTATATTTAGTATACTTTCATCTCCATTATCATAATTATTGCTGTCAACAATTATATCTTTAGAATGATGAATATCATCATCGGAGTGAATATCATCATCGAGGTGAATATGAATATCATGATGAATAGATGATAATTTTTGATTTTGAGTAGTAATATTATCATCTCTGAGATTTAAAACTATGTCTTTAAAAGTATCATCATTATCATCACGTTTATTATCAATTAATGAATCTTTCGTACTTTCTACACTCTCCCCGTTTCCCACACTTTCTAAATTCTCTACGTTTTCTACATTTTCTATAATTTCTACATTCTCTGCATTCTCTCTATTTTCTACATTGTCTACATTTTGTACATTTTCTGCAATGTTTACATTTTGTACATTTTCTGCAATGTCTAAATTTTGTACATTTTCTGCATTTTCTGCACTTATTACACTTACTACATTCTTGACATTTTCTACACTTTCCACGTTTTCCATACTTTCCACATCTTCTACGTTTTCCATACTTTCCACGCTTTCCACGTTTTCCATACTTTCTACACCTTCCACACTTTGTACACTTTCCATAGTTTCCACACTTTCCACACTTTCCACAATTTCTGCATTATTAATGACATTCAAAATATCGTCATCCAAAGAAAATGGAGTTGATTTGCTTTGAGACATGGTATCGAAGAGATTTCGTATATTAGCTATGATATTTTTATCACTATCATCGTCATAATCATCTTTTTCATTGCCTACCACAACTTCTGAATATTCGATTTTTTCTGAATTCATATCATTCGGTGATGATGGTGGTGGTGGTGATGATGATTGTCTTTGAAAGATATCCTCTACATCATCATCATCATTATTATTATTATTGTAATTGTTTTCGTCGTCGTTGTTATTATTATTATTATTTTTATCTTCATGTATGTCATTTGTTTCGTCACTCTCATAATTATCACTATCATCACTATCGTCACTACCATCATCACCATCATCATGATCAATTACTACATTTTCGGTTTTGTTATTATCAACCACAATGTTTTCGACATTTTCATTTTCAACATTTTCAGCATTTTCAGCATTTTCAGCATTTTCAACATTTTCAACATTTTCAACACTTTCAACATTTCCGACGTTTCCGACATTATCAACATTTTCTTCATTTCCAATATTTCCAACATTCTCAATATTTTCGACAGTATCAACATTCTCAACATTTTCAATATTTTCAGAATTTTCAAGATTTTCAAGATTTTCAGAATTTTCAATATTTACATTATCAACTACTACAACGTTTGAATAATTTTCAACATTCCCATCGCCATTACATTCAATAAGTTTATCTTCATGCTTTTGGTTATTATTTGAAGTTGCAAATTCATTGGTTTCGTTAATTTCATTAAAATCCACTGATTCGTTATTTCGTTTGTTATAATTAGAATCATAATGATCATCGTAATAATCATAATCATCATGATCATAATAATTATTATGATGATTATGATTATTATTATAATAATTATGATTATTACGATGATTATGATTATGATTATAATAACTACGACGATTATAGCGATTATTATGATTATGATTATTATTATGATTAATATAATCATTATCTATTGAACCAGCAATTCTCGTATCTTCGGATTCAAAAGGAATCCAATCACGCCTAATTTTCCTATTCCATCCATTGTGATCTCCTCTTCTAATGTTTATCTGCCATTTTTTATTATTATTATTATTATTATTATAATTATTATGATTATGATTATGATTATGATTATGATTATGATTATGATTATTATTACTATTATTATTATTATTATTATTATTATTATTCCAATTACCTCTCGGATCTACATATACGGTAGGTTCTGCTTCAGCCATTGTTGTTGATAATCCCGTGATACAGGGTAGTATAATAGTTTCTTCAATGGTTGCAGTATTTTCTATATTTTCTATAGTTTCTATATTTTCTAAATTTTCTTCATTCTTTCGTACTTCTAATAATCCATTAACGAATCGCTTTTTAATAGGATGAGTATATCCATTTAAATTTCTAAATGGAACTTCTTCAGCTGATAAACGCCAAGTACATTTCGGTTGTCGACCATCAACTAAATAATTGGCACAAGTGAAAATCAAATTACCACTAGGTCGCCTTTTAAACATCATTTCAACTGGATTATCACAAAAACAATTTGGAACTGGAGGATGTGAAATAGGATATTTATTCCTTTGATTAAAGAATACACAAAATGTGAAATTAAAAAATGGGCAAGTTTCAAGTTCATCTAAAATTTGTCCTTTATCTTGAATAATTTTATCCCAAACATCTTTATGAATATGAAATCCACAAATAGAAGTCCCGTCACCACGCGTTGGTATAATGGTGTCGGTAGTCTACAAATATAAATATATATAGAAAGATATATATAATCAAGTATATATCCATAAAAGTATACATTAGAAATGATTAAAAAATTGTAAATTTTTAGAATTTCCTACTAATGCTTCTTAAATCATAAAAAAAAATGATATATGCAAACATTTAAAATTTATCAAAAAATATATATACATAAATATATTTAATTTATCAAAAAAAATTAATATATCTATATATATTTTTTAAGAAGGCATTCTACCTACCTTTTCATTTGTATATTTTTCTGTTGCAGTTTTCCATGGGTTAGAATGAATGTAATGACATTCGTATATTAAACCAAATTCTTCTGAAAAGGCCGGCGAAGCTGGCTTTTTACAAAAGCATTGAGGTGCCGATTGGTATTGCGGTGCCATGTTCATTAGCGTATATTTATGTATATATATAATTTTTATAATTTATAATTTATATTGTATCGCGCGTATTTTATTTTTTTTTTAATTAAATAAAAAAAATTCAAAAAAAAAAAAAAAAATTAAATTTCAGTATTATCTACTTTTTTTACTATTTTATTTTATATTTTAAAAAACCAGATTCATTTGTTTACATTTGTGTATACTGAAAATATATATATATAACAAACTTTGCATGAGTTCTTGCTCAACTTGATTTAGTTTCTAAACATTAATGAAATATACCGGATTATTCTTGACCATATTAGACCGATTATATAACATATGATATCGATAAAATGGAAATATATTTTGATTTACATGTTAAAAAGAATGAATTATCTGAGAATTTATTAAAGAGAGGAAAAGGAAATTATTTGAGTCGAGACCATAAACCACCGTAATGAAATTATTTGCGAATTATTATTATTATTATTATTATTATTTATTTATTTATTTATTTATTTAATTATTATTATTATTATCGAGATAATGAAAGATAAATACTTACGTAAAAGTTACAAAACTCGATAAAAATTTACTTGAACAACAAGTATTAGTATGAAAGAAATAAATGAATGAATAAATTGAATAATGACAGTTCTTGTCAAGGGTTGGATTTCTATATAGTAAATGTAAAAAAAAATTTCTTTTCGGTAGAAATTTTTCATTAGAAAACTTGTTTCCCAATTTTATATTTGGTAAAAGATATTTGGAAATATAATTTAAAAATCTATTATTGCATTAGAGATGGATAATTTTGTGGCTATACTGAATTTATATAAAAATTATTTATTACAGTCATTGTGATTATTGTAAAATAACAATAATAATATCCTTCAATTCATATTATTATTCTTTATTTTCATATTCCGTAAGGAATTTTAATCAATTTTTTTACAAAAATAAATTTCATTTGTACTACAAACGGGTAGATATTTCTCCAATATATCTTGATTGAATCGGGAATTTTGTTTGATCTGAGAGCTTTACCACAATGTTGTTTTGATCGCCCTTTCTGGAACTTCTATGAAAAGTTCTTCCATGGCGATGTTTTCTTCTTCTTCTGACAGCGTTATATCGTCTGGCTTCTTAAAAAATTATTATAAGTTACGTTCGGCCTATTGTCAAAACCTATATGTGCAGTGCAGAATAGTAGTAACAGAACACTAAATCAGTGAATTTACCATCGTGTCCTGAGTGAGTAATTTCATTTTCACGTCGTTGCATCAATACTTCTTCGTGCTCTTCATAAGGCTCTCCCTTCGCAATCCACTCAGAAAAGCGCAACCCAATCGATTCATTCTTTCACTTCCTTTTAGATATTTGCTTTATGTAATGGTAATAAAATGTGACAATTACGTGATTATGAGATTTTACAGCGTAGCGATGGGGACTAGCTTCATTTGATATAATGATTAATTATTTTAATTATTACTAATGCTACAGTAAGATAATCTGATTTATTTGATCGATTGTTTAAAAGAAATTAGAACATATATCTGTATTTAGTGCTGATCCGTGAATGATCGGCACAAAATTAAAATTTATCAATAAAATACAATATGACAAAAGTCGGGAGTTAGATCACACATGTTTTAACCTTCACCGATACGTATTGCGCCTTTCATTTCTAGCTGGCACTGGCTTTTCAAGAATTATAATAGTAGTAACAATTGAAAATTCCACATAAATAAGCATACGAATTTTCTATGCAACAATTATCACAACTACATATAACAATATTCACTTTTCCTTTTTGTCCATTTGAATTCACACCAATTTGCCCATTCATATTTTTCACCATGGTTGTTATCATTGCAAGTAGTATGTTTCTAAGAGAATTAGAACAGAAACCTAATTTGAATCTATATAGCATTTTTTTTTCTCATCACACAGGAAGCATTTTTCTTATATCAATTTTTATATCATTTTGCTTAATTTTTTCGAGCCACATTCAAATGTGAGATGATTTATTTTTTTGGCCACATCTCCATATTACTACTCTGCTTGCTATAAAAAAAGGAGCAGGAAGCTAAAGGATGAATGTCCTGAAGCTGAGTGTGATGTGCATCAGCAAGTTTAAATTTAATATCATTTTCTTTATTATTCTAATTTTTTTCTAAGCTTTATTTAGCCTTTTGTTACTGTGAAGCATGAATTCCAAAGAGTAAATATGAAACAGTCTGTGGAATATAGTTAACTATTTAACTTTCAAAATTGTTAACAATATAAAATAGCTATCTAAAAAGAGTTATCAAAAATTTATATTAATATAAAAAAGTCTAAACTCCAATAAAAGATTTTTAGACATATTCCAACTTAACTAGAATATTTAATTTTTACTATTTTTCTTAACATCCAAATCAATTATTTTTATCATAAAGAATATCAAAAAAATATCAAAAAAGTTAGAACAAAATCTAATCCCAAAAGTCTAATTTCAAATTATATATATCAAAAAAGTTAGACAAAGTCTAATCCTGAAATATATATATATCAAAAGTCTAATCTCAAAGTATAATATTATTTTTCATAATTTTATCATGTAATCTATTAACATATTGAATAGTATAATAGTCTCTTTTATGTAATTTACATTGATCACAATAAGCTTACCACAATCATTACAAGAATAATATTTTTTAGTCTAATAATGAAGTTAAAATTCTTCAGGTCAAGTATAGACTTTGGCACAAACTTTTCCAAAGTTATATAAATAGTTACAGGTATATATTGCCAACATTTTATATAAGAAATAGAATATTTAAATTGAACAAAAGTTTTTACAATATATAAATAACAAATATTATATAGAGAGTATAAAAAATTAAAATTGAACAAAAGTTTTTACAATATATATAATGATTAAAAAACATAAAAAAACTAGAACATGTGAAAGTTATAGGCAAATACTATCAATATCCCAAATACTTCATAAATATTATACTAGTAATAAAAATTTATATTATTCAATAGTTTCAAAATCAATCTCTGAATCTCAATTTCAACCTAATCTAGAAATAAAATATCTCAATATATTGGAATTATTTGATTCCTCCAAAATTGATGAAAGCAGTTACTCAGAATTTAACTTATTACTAGGAACTAAGAAAGCATATCTTGAAGCATTAGGAATATTAGAACCAATTTCACAATTTCATTAAACAGATATTATTAGTTCTGGATATGAACTATAGGATTAGAAATTGTCTTAATATTTAAACTCGATTAATCGTCATAAATAATCAACAAATAATTATGAATAATTGTTAATTATTCATGATTATTTGACAATTATTCAACAATTATTTGACAATTATTCAATGATTATTCAATAATTATTTGTAATTATTCAATAATTATTTACGATTATTCACAATTATTCAATGATTATTTGACGATTATTCAACAATTATTTGACAATTATTTAACAATTATTTAATGATTATTTGATAATTATTTATGATTATTTAACAATTATTCATGATTATTTAACAATTATTCATGATTATTTAATGATTATTCACAAATATTCAATAATTATTTACAAATTTTTACGTGTTTTTTTACAATTGTTTTTTTTTAAACTGAGTGATCACTATGAATATCAAAGCTACAAGGATGAAATACATATTATTTTGTAGCTAAGAATAATACTGATCTATCTATTTTAGAAATACCTTAGTAAAAAATCTCTCTGTATCTTGCAAATTGCAAGGGAAGTCAAAAAAATAGAAAAAAACATATAAAAATCTTGTACAAGTATTGAAATTTGTATAAATTTTGTCTAATAAAATTTCCTGATAAAATAAATATTTGTTTCTTTTAAATAAAATATTTATTTAACACTCAATTTTGGTATTAATTAGTAAATAACAAAGTTTGTTATGTAATAATACAATTATAAATTTAAAATTTCCATATTAAATTAATTTGATAATATTTTTTTTTAAAATAATTTTTGATTTATTAATATAATTAATATTAAATCAAAATTAACATTTAGAATTGATAAATTAATAAAAATTATAATTATTAAGGAAACATTTCTACATATATATTATTTCATTTAATAAAAAAAATTTGATTAACTAAATATAAATTTAACCTATTTCTAAGAGAAGTTACATGAATTTCAGCATCTGAAAATAATTTTATAGATGGTACAGATGTTGCAGGAATTGATAAATATTTTTGTATCAATTTTGATAAATTAGAATATAAATTACAATTTGTTTTTTACCAAATTAAAAGATTATTTTTTTTTATACATTAATAACTCTTTCATTTGTAAATATTGTTCTAATTTATTTGAATTAGTTTTAAATTCTTGATTAAAAGTTGAAGAAATATGAGAAAAAAAAGATAATAAAGATGTTGAATCTGTTTCTAATGAACTTTAAATTTCATCAGATGACAAATTTACAATTTCTTCAATTTTTTTTTTAATTTTGTTATATATAATATTACATGTATTTTAAATAATAAATTATATAAAAAATTAAATATTATATATTATTTTTAATTAAAGATATATACTTACTTGTAAGTAAAAAGTTAAAATTTTAAATCTAGAATCTAAAAATGATACAGTTAATCCATAATTATTTGAAATATTCCATCTTATTTCAAGATCATTCAAAATAGTATTACAAATATTTGAAATTATAATATTTGTAATAGTAATATTTTTTGATTTTATATTTTTAAAATTATGTATAACTTCATCAATTATTGAAGCAGTAAGAGCTAATTTTGTATAATTTTCTTCTCCTAATAATCTTGTTACTTATTCAACAGAAACTAATAATTCTATTAAATCTTGAATAGTTTTTCATTTTGTTAAAGTGGGTAAAAGTTAATCTATAATATTAAAATTATGAATATCAATTGATAAATTACTATTTTCTAAGTTATTAGCTAACCATTTAATTGAATTTTTTAATTTATAAAGTTGAACTAAAATATTGTAAAAAGAATTTCACTTTATATCTATAGGCTTAATAATTTCAACTGTTTCATTTTCTTGAATTTGATTACACATAACTTGTACATGTCTTAATTGTTGTTTTCTTTTATCACTTTCCAAAAAAATAATAAGATTTTTTACTTTTGTTATTAGAGGATCAATTATTTTCAATCTTTTAGTAACTAATAATTGTAATGTATGAGCAGCACATGGGATCCAATCTTTTTCCAATTTTGTTACTGCAGATTTAACATTACTTCTATTATCTGTAATTATAATTATTATTTTATCTTCCAAATTCCAGTCATTAAAAACTTTTGAAACATGACGAGCAATTTCAATACCAGTATGTGGATATGGTATTTTTCCAATATTTAAAACCATGTTACAAATTTCAAATTCTTTGTTAATCCAATGGGCAATAATATCCAAATATGAATTATGTACTTTTAATAACTACAAATCAAAAGTTAAATAAATATAATTAATAGAATTAATTATAATATTTTTGAGTTGCCTTTTCATATAATTATATAAAAGATCTATTAAATTTTTAATTGTATTAATGCAAGGAATAGAAAATTGTAGATTGAGAGCATTAATATAATTTTTAAATAAATCACTTTCAACAATAGATAATGGTTGTCTTGTTCCTACTATAAATTTTATAAAATCTTAATTTAATAATTTTTGTCTTCTTGAACTAAGAGATCTTAATAGAAGTTCATCAATAGATTGTTTTTTTTTGATTGTTTTAGATTACTTATTTCTTCTGGAGTTTTTGAAGATAATGAAACTTCAATAATATGATGATCATCACAAAGATGTTTTGTATAATTAGTTGTAGAACCATGATGAGCATATTTGCGTGTACAATCTTTTATTTGACAAATTACATAAATAATATCTGTTTCTGTATCATGATCAGTTATAAAAAAATTCCAAACAAAACTAGTTCTCAATGCTGCTACTGTTTTTGATTTTTTTGATTTTGATTTTTTTCCTTTAGAGATTTTTAATAAAACAGATGCTTTTCTTTTTCTACAATTTTAAAGACAACTTGAATTACTTAGAATATTATTGTCACTGATTTCATCTTCACCTTCATCTTCATCACCTTCATCACCTTCATCACCTTCATTACTAATTTCATTATCATCTAATTCTTCTATATTAGTTGATTTTTCAAAAAAAGATTGAATCCTTTTTTTATTTATATTACTTTTTATTCTATTTATTGGAGTTTTTTTGTTTTGGATAATGTTTTTACTTGATGAAGCAATAGATGTTTCATCTTCACTTCGAAAATTCATTTCAAAAGATAAAAAATCATCATTTTCAAAATTATTTTCATAATTATTCA